GTGTCAAATAATCTCTCATTATCGAAAATTTGATTGAGTTTATTAGCATAAGTTCCACCATAATGTGATATATATGATACAACATACTTCATATCAAAACCAGGACGATTAATATATAGTTTAGGAAGTGTTTTATCTTTTTTATCAATAATAGTAGCGATATCAAAACCAGACATATTTATCGATTATATTGTATTTAGACCTATTTTATTTAATAACTATATACTCTAGAATAGTATGATTCAATTTTAGTGAGATTGGGTTCTTAGACCATCTCTTCAAGAGTATTATATTTGTCACATTTTGCGATGAGAATGGGAGAGATCCATATTGGGTTATATTTGCGAAAATCTTTATTTAACCCGTGATGATCAGACCTTCTTTGAGGTATCCCAATCAATTATAATGTGTTATTCTATATCGGGATAATCGTTAGTTCTATTTCAGGCGTTAAATCTATTTTGGGTGTATTACAAGCATATCAATATGACAAGCCACAGACTTCGTGTCATTATCGTTATTCGGGAAATTTTCTGCCGAAAAGTAATGTGATACACGCATTGTGCAACCGAATACATTTCTCATATCACAAATTTTGTAAACGAATCATGTTAGTGCCGATCCAGAATTGCTGATCACGGGCTAGCTAAATTTCGATTCCCAATTCATTAACTGATAGTTGGTTCATTAACCGTAATATTTGCGCAACATGAATGTTGTTTTGCGTTCGAATCTATAATAAAACTACGTATTAATTACTTAGAACGGAATCTAAGAAACCAATGCCATGATCACATAGAATAAACCAGATATAATTCGTGTTGAGAAGAGGATGCTCATAAGATGCGCAAGAAACTAAGCTAATTCATCTCTGTTTTGTGAAATCCTTTTTTCTATTGCGTAGCAATGGGCTTCGCCCTCACAGGTTCGAAAAAAGATATATAGTCATCTATTGTTTCACAATGGCTCGAAGAGCCTAGATAAAGATATTTAATTAACTGTAATTATCTGGCTTCGAGTGATGGAGTCATGAGAAGGCGGGATATATTGATCGCCTTTACTGTGAGATATAACAGAGCTAGTGTCTGAGACACAGTTTTACGAGCTACAGATATAAAAACGTGCGTTTTCTCAGTGAACTAACCCTAAGATACAGAGTAATCCATATCGTGACTTTTTACAACGTGAAACCCAAGTAATTTCAAGCAAGTACTATAATCCCCATAACCGCAAAATCTCAATCGTATCGGCTTCGTTATTACCCAATAAAATCGAAATACAAACCTATCAAAATGTTCTCAAACATTACCAATTTTCTCGTATTCGTCGGCGCCATGATGATCCAAATGGTAATTTTTTCCATCATAACCTGGTGTAATTCTAGGAACACTGAAAAGCGATTCGACGTAAAAATGACCGACTCGCTCAAAAAACAACAAAAAATTGTCTCTGGTTTATCTGAAACCGTAAAACATCTTGGTTATGACATTCGCGAAGTTCGAGATGGGGTCGCAAGAAGTAGTAATGCCGGATCTGGTACATCCAAAACGCCTCAAAATTATATTGGCACCATTTTCGAACTGTGGGAAGAAATTGATGCATTATTCAACGAGAAAAGGCGTGCCGAAAAGCGGTCCATGGCAAGGCTGTACCCCAAGGTAGCTGAAGAAATCCGAACCCTTGTTATCAATCATAAGAGGGGAATAGCGATCAGTGATGCCACCATTAGAAATTTTCACTAAAAATCCGAAAGAAGATACGCTCGATTCATTAAAATTATGGGTCTCAAAACAGAATGGAGAGATAGACACTGAACCGGAAAGTGAGGAGGATGAAGAAATAAATGACGATAGCTAGTGCGGGGTAGGGAAAGGAACTCTCATTTTATGGGTTAGGGCTCGAGATGCTTCCTCCCTTTAAACGTCTCTACCCCACACTCCTATCTATTACCTTGCAAGCCTTTAGGCGATGAATCAGATAGGTTCGAGACTCTGTCACTCCTTAAAAATATTGCTATCAATAAATTTATTAAAACTGCTAAAAGATTGTATTCCGCATGATTGATGGGAAACGTTGATCGCACATTGTATTACCACAGAATAATGTAATCGTGTGGACCTACTGATTGTTACTATGACCAAGTTCCCGAAAAGAAAATTTGATTGCGTAATACAGATAATCGATCAACATATTACCACAGAATAAAATCGAAGGTCATGGAACTTTTCATGCATGATGTAGAGCAAAGCTCATTACAAAGTAATAATCGTGTGACCTGAAATCGATTGCGTAACACAACAGATGTTCGATCATCCGGAATCACTGATCACGTGATAATGCCAAACGATCTCGGAAGTTTTTTTTTTCATTTTATTATGATGCGACGCGTGAAATCACTTTCTCAATCATGTCCATGCCTACGGTGCGAAAGTTAAACACATAAAATTGTCAATTTATTTTATTGTAGGCCAAACACTGAACTTTTTATCTTTCCTTTGTTCCTGTTCAAAAGCAGGCACATAAATATTTCGATCGAGCACACTCTGAGTGGGATATTATAGACTTTCTAAACGATTCTAGTGAGAGCGAGTTTCAAGATCTAAATCTCGGTCAGAAGATAGGAATTTATCTAAAGTCTCTTGAGGTCATCATGGATGCTGATAATGGACAAAGGGGTAAACGAGCAAAGGAATTGCATGATAGATATAAGCAGGCAAGTCTTACTTTTGTTATTTTGGTTAAAAAGATATAGAGAATTTGGTGGCGTGGTGGAGGATCTATAGGGTCCTGTATCATTCAAGTCTAAAGGGCGAGCTACGAAGTTGGTGTTGGGGCGGAGGCAATCTAGAGGGTTGGCTTACGTTCAAGACTAAAGGTCGACCTGGCACTGACCCCACTGGGGCGGAGGCAATCTAGAGGGTTGGCTTACGTTCAAGACTAAAGGTCGATCTGGTGGGATGGAAATAGAATGGAGAATCATGAAGTACTAGTTCAGGATACCGTTAACTTTCTGTCTTCTTAGGATTCTCAGCCCGATCGCAAACGAGCAAAGGAAAATGATCAAAAGCGTGGACTAGGATGTGGGCCTTCAATTCATATTAATAATTCAAAAATCACTGGAAATATTCAAGGAACTGGGATCATTGAAGACACTTCGCGGAAAACCATAAAACCAGGTAATATGCTCAAACACATCTAATTATGTATTTAACCTTTTCTTATTGTGCGGAGTAATAGCTTTGAAGCGGAAGAAGTTATCCAAAAACTGTTTAAGTGAGGAAGACCCAGTCACAGATGCTGAAAATAATCCCTTTTTTGTCTCCGAGCATGGAAAGGGTTCGAACACTAATCAAAACGAGGATGAGGTATAGCAGTTACATTCAGAACATTTTTATCAAAATTCAGATTATTTGTAGCAGTCAAAATCGGGGATATATCCGAGATTGTATTTACCCTTTTCCTGCGAACAACATATTAAATGTGTATATTCACAGGAGGTATTAAATGAAGAAATCAAATTACCAACTCAGACACATAAAAAGGTAAAAATTATAGGTGACAAAGTTAAGAGAACATAAAAGCTCAAGTGTATTTTCTATATTTAGACGAAAACAAGTGTGACTAATGTCCCAAACACCAGATCAAGAAACGATAGTGAAAAGTCTTCCTCTTCTGATGTAGAGCCTGAAGATGATGAAGAAATAAAGTTCGACTTCACAGATATTGAAGAGGAGTTGCAACGGGAGCCGATCAATGAGGTATGCTATGTCAAGATCCTGGTTCTTGTATTCTGAATATCTCACAGTTTGCTTCCGTTTTTTAGTGGGAAGTTGGTGCCATCAATGTATCACAAAGATTTAGACAATATCAGATAGAGGTACTTGGGAAGGCGAAGACTAGCAGTTTGAAATACGATAACATTTATGAAATCTTGTAAGTATTCAGAGACATGTAACATTGACTATAGTACGAGATTATATTGAGCATTTTCCTTGTTTGCTTTAGAGCCTTATCATCAATAATGGTGTTCTGCTGGCCCTGCCCGTATCCCATGTTTACTATTCAAGAATGGGAGGAAATTACAGCAACTAATCCGTACAAGATTCAAGAATCCCCGCTTTCACAGGAGATTTTATCATCCCTTCGTGAAGCATATTGTAACCATTTTCTTGGTAATGATGTCTTCATGAATGGTGGTAATTCAAAACTAAGTAGAGCAGTCGCATGCGCTTTTAATGATCTGTAAGTTTACTCATTTTATAATATCTTTACCCATAAACTTATTGCTCATTTCTTTTTTAACACATTTACAGGTATAACAGCATCCCAGATGTTGCTCCACCAAAGATGTCTGAGGATGAGTACTGCTACATGTTTCTTCATCCTATCTCTCGTCCATTATTTGCTGGTTCGAGAAAAGAATATGAACTAATCCTGAATCGTGCCAACACTGGTTCAAAAAAAAGACCAGACCTGTCTTGCACAGTAGATTGTGTACCGATTCTAAATGCGGAATTTAAACCTGTTGGTTGCACACCATTGCAACGTAAGAAAGACGGGCTGAAAGTACAGTTAAAAGCACGAAATTCAATAAACCAACAACTACAAAACAAAGGAGGTCCAGGTGAAGCCGTCATATTATTAAATATGGGTAAGTCATAAGATATTACATGAAAGGTTGTTATTTTTGTATATATTAACTCCTGTGATAACTAGGCGATTTGATGCAATCATATTTTATGAATTTGAAATATGACGGACTATATTGTTCCTGGCCGTTCCTAACTACAAAAAT